ATCATCAACATATCGGTGCCAGTAAACGATCTTTCCTTTGTGCGCATTAATGTCGGCCAATATGCGCTGGTGTTCTAAGTTGTCAAGGAAGATTTCAGATAAAATTGATGATAAGGGCGAACCCATAGCTAATCCTTGTTCTTGTAGATAATATTTGCCGTTGAACTCAAAATAATTCTGTTTAAGTATAACTCTTAAAAGTGATACTAACTCAGCTATTTTATCATTTTCCAGAGATCCCTTGGTTCTTACATATTGTTCAACTAAGTCAATGGTTTCATCAATTGGCACACTTGTGTACAAGTTGGTTACATCAAATGATACAAACTGTGCGTGGGACGGAATATTTATGGTTCTGATCTCGTTAACTAAATGTGTGCTGTTCTTAACGCTGCAATTAGCTTTGAATTCAATGTTGTTTCGAATAATTTTGTCTATAAGCTTGCATAAATTGTAGGACGGTGCATTAATAAAATTAACTAAAGGTCTGATCGGAATATTCTCCTTATGTATTTTTGGAAGCCCGCGCATTTTTGGAGCACTGGGGTTCATGACCTTGACCTGTCTCTTCTGATTAACATTAAGGAGGTGTTTACATTTATTAATAGCTCTATTGACTTCACTATGATACTGTTTGGTTGGATCTTTGGTTAAGCTAGTTATGTCGTTTGCTGCAATAAAATTATCTACTTTAAGAGTGTATTCGTTCTTATCTAAAACTACGACCGTATTACCTTTATCGGCCTTAGTGACAATGGCCTCATTGAGGTCAACCTTATCTTTTAAGCTTCTTAAGGCTGACAAGTCATTCTTAGCTTCATTTGAAAGCTTATCAATGCTGACCATAGTATGATTTCGTTGATTTATTTTATTAATGATCTCGTATCTAATTGGGTTTTGTTTATCATATTTTACTGTTTCAACACAACTCTCAATCTCTAAAAGGGAGTCAACCAGATCGTGTTTCGGTTTATGATGGAAGTTATGTTTAAGACCTTTATTAAGTAAAGCTGTTTCTTGCTGGTTAAATTCGATTGATGTTAAGTTTACTATTCTTGGATGAAATTTGTGAGGACATGAGATAACTTTGGCTGTGTCATTTTTTACTTTAATTAAATTATCAAGCTTCTTAAGCTGGGTTAATCTTTTTTCTCTAATGATGGGTCTTATCCAATCGTCAACAGCATTGATAACAATTCCAAAACAGTGTCGATACAGGTTAGACAAATCCAAATGAATCTTTAGGACTTCTTTTGTTAAACGGTCTTTTTTACCGTACAGTTGCCTTATTTCTTCCTTAAGCCAAGCTTTTTTACCTATATGCACTGCTCTTTCTGCAGCTGGTGTATTTGTGTTTGTAGAGATATTGATATACTTTGGAAACAGTGTATTATTCATACAAAACTTGTTAAAGGCTATATTGAGCTTAGTTTCTTCGATTTTTAGTTTAGTGTACTTGAACTTTGCCACGGTGGATTGACTGTCCAAAATCATATTCTTGAGTGTGGCAGATTGCGTGAAAATATAATAAAATCTAGTTCTTACCGTCAACGCAATCAGGAGTAATATTCCACTACGGCCGTTTCGGAGATGACTCCATCGTCAGGTGCGTAGTGGTACACTAAACTATAGTCTTGTCACATTTAACACGAGTTTTCTTCATTTGCATTGCGTCAGGGGGTGAATAAATAATACACATATATTTACAGGACGGACACACGAAAACACGAATACACGAAAACATTTAGAGCACGTGCACGGCTTGAAAACTGACGACCGACTGTTCAATCCTGGTCACTGCAGGAGTTACGTGGATGACTGGAACAGCTGATAACACGGTGTGCCAACCTTATCTACTCAAATTAATACTTTCCTGTTTGATTTCCATTATTCTTTCAAAAATTGGATTGGCAGCTGAATTTGTTTGGGAGTTAATTACTAAGTTGGGTTCTATGGCTGTACTGCTGTAGATATGGAAATTTTCGATGCAATTAAGTTTGTGACTTTTATTGCCAATATGTAGTATTTCTAAACTGTTTATGTCGGAATAATCATGGCAATACTGTTGAATATGTTCGGCATAATTTGAAGTAGGGTTGGGTTTCTTAATGGCGCTTATGTGCTCTTTATATCTGGTTTTAAAGCACCTACCAGTCTGTCCAATATAATACGAGTCACATTCTCCACACTTAAGTTTGTAAACACCTGGCTTTTCCAACAATGGTGTATTCCTGTGTCGAGGAGCAGACAGCTTACGTTGGAGGCTATTACTGGTTCTGTAAGCAACTGAATAATTGTGTCTACTAAAAGGACGGGTTGCTAAACGTTGGTTTAGTTTACAGAACTCTAACGTGACGTATTTTTTATCATCCTTATCGGCTTTATTGTTGACTTTTTTCTTGACTCTCCTGTGCAGTTTATCAATTAATTCTGTGCTGTATCCGTTATTCAAAGCAATGTACTTTATGGTGTTTAATTCACGGCTATAGTTCTCTTCATTTAGAGGGATATTAACCAATCTGTGTAGCATGGAGTTATAGGCTGCGATCTTGTGGGATTGGGGGTGATTAGAACTGTTGTGGATGGTTGTATCTGTGCTAGTGGGTTTCCTGTAGATGTTAAAAAGGTGTTTATTGTCCGATTTGGTTATTGTCAAGTCAAGAAAGTTAATTGAAGCATTTTTCTCGTGTTCTATAGTGAATTTAAGCCTGGGATGGATGTTATTAAGGTATTTTCCAAACAAATCAATTTGTCTATTGTTGCCTTTGAATAAACAAAGCACATCATCAACATATCGGTGCCAGTAAACGATCGTACTGCGCGGGCTTCCAAAAATACATAAGGAGAATATTCCGATCAGACCTTTAGTTAATTTTATTAATGCACCGTCCTACAATTTATGCAAGCTTATAGACAAAATTATTCGAAACAACATTGAATTCAAAGCTAATTGCAGCGTTAAGAACAGCACACATTTAGTTAACGAGATCAGAACCATAAATATTCCGTCCCACGCACAGTTTGTATCATTTGATGTAACCAACTTGTACACAAGTGTGCCAATTGATGAAACCATTGACTTAGTTGAACAATATGTAAGAACCAAGGGATCTCTGGAAAATGATAAAATAGCTGAGTTAGTATCACTTTTAAGAGTTATACTTAAACAGAATTATTTTGAGTTCAACGGCAAATATTATCTACAAGAACAAGGATTAGCTATGGGTTCGCCCTTATCATCAATTTTATCTGAAATCTTCCTTGACAACTTAGAACACCAGCGCATATTGGCCGACATTAATGCGCACAAAGGAAAGATCGTTTACTGGCACCGATATGTTGATGATGTGCTTTGTTTATTCAAAGGCAACAATAGACAAATTGATTTGTTTGGAAAATACCTTAATAACATCCATCCCAGGCTTAAATTCACTATAGAACACGAGAAAAATGCTTCAATTAACTTTCTTGACTTGACAATAACCAAATCGGACAATAAACACCTTTTTAACATCTACAGGAAACCCACTAGCACAGATACAACCATCCACAACAGTTCTAATCACCCCCAATCCCACAAGATCGCAGCCTATAACTCCATGCTACACAGATTGGTTAATATCCCTCTAAATGAAGAGAACTATAGCCGTGAATTAAACACCATAAAGTACATTGCTTTGAATAACGGATACAGCACAGAATTAATTGATAAACTGCACAGGAGAGTCAAGAAAAAAGTCAACAATAAAGCCGATAAGGATGATAAAAAATACGTCACGTTAGAGTTCTGTAAACTAAACCAACGTTTAGCAACCCGTCCTTTTAGTAGACACAATTATTCAGTTGCTTACAGAACCAGTAATAGCCTCCAACGTAAGCTGTCTGCTCCTCGACACAGGAATACACCATTGTTGGAAAAGCCAGGTGTTTACAAACTTAAGTGTGGAGAATGTGACTCGTATTATATTGGACAGACTGGTAGGTGCTTTAAAACCAGATATAAAGAGCACATAAGCGCCATTAAGAAACCCAACCCTACTTCAAATTATGCCGAACATATTCAACAGTATTGCCATGATTATTCCGACATAAACAGTTTAGAAATACTACATATTGGCAATAAAAGTCACAAACTTAATTGCATCGAAAATTTCCATATCTACAGCAGTACAGCCATAGAACCCAACTTAGTAATTAACTCCCAAACAAATTCAGCTGCCAATCCAATTTTTGAAAGAATAATGGAAATCAAACAGGAAAGTATTAATTTGAGTAGATAAGGTTGGCACACCGTGTTATCAGCTGTTCCAGTCATCCACGTAACTCCTGCAGTGACCAGGATTGAACAGTCGGTCGTCAGTTTTCAAGCCGTGCACGTGCTCTAAATGTTTTCGTGTATTCGTGTTTTCGTGTGTCCGTCCTGTAAATATATGTGTATTATTTATTCACCCCCTGACGCAATGCAAATGAAGAAAACTCGTGTTAAATGTGACAAGACTATAGTTTAGTGTACCACTACGCACCTGACGATGGAGTCATCTCCGAAACGGCCGTAGTGGAATATTACTCCTGATTGCGTTGACGGTAAGAACTAGATTTTATTGAATATTACAAACTTAAATATTTACTCCCAAAAAGCTAGTGAATTTCTTTTTATTAACAGCTGTTTTTTGTTATTAAATTTGTTCTATGTATTTCTTATGAAGAAAACCCGACCTTTGAGAGGATCTCACACCCTTAAGAGTAGACATTTTAAAGTTCTAAAACCTTATTGCAAAACTACATATTGAGACGAATCTTTTGACACCTTAAACGTTGAAATTGGTCCACCAATAAGGGAGGAGTTGCGTTAACAAAAAACGGCTTCACGTATTATATATATAGATTATTATATATATATAGTACAGCTGATTAATAGTGATGTAAAAAAACTTATAGATAAAAATATTTAGTATACTTCTATACTTTTAGAGCAGTAGTAATGTTACCAATGTTTTCAGATACTATTTCGCTCTGCAGACTAATCCAGGAGAACAATTTTTCATGTTCACGTCACTAGCGGCCTGGTTGGTGCGTAAAATGGGACGTCAGTTTGAACAACCCCAGGAATACGATGATCCTAACTCAACCATCGCTGTAGTTTTGGATGCCACACGGGATCTTGTAAGATAGTTAAGGGATTTAGCAACATCATAATTATGTCCAAATATTTACTCAATCAGAAAGAATTTATTTTTATTTTTTTTTTTTTAGAAAAGAGAAAAAATACCTTGTCACATCTGTAGTAGTAGTAGATGCACAATAGAAAAAATACCCATATAGTAAATTCTAAAAAGTGTCTAAACTCTAAACCAAGTTGAACATAATTATGTATTATGTTCGCAGGGTATTCCGGTGGATTTTGCCCCCAACAAGCTAAAGCAAGGGTACGGTCGCTATGCCATCTACATTCTCAACAGCTTGGCTGATAAAGCCATGGAGCACACTAAGGTTATTTGGAAAAAGTAAGAATTAATATTGTGATAAGTAAGTGGTACATTGTGAAAAATATTTTACCCAACCCGCCATGTTAAACTTCCCTATCCCAAGCGTGATGTATACAACTTCTTTACCTCACGAGTGAAGTAAAGTTTCAAAAACTCACTCGGTGAAGTAATGAAGCCCATTTAAATAACATTGAGTGCTCAACTTAAAAAAGTATACCTCTGTGGAGCCAACGACGTTCAACGCTAGAAATCAGCTGTGCTCTAGAATTTTATTGTTATGCTTTAAAGTATTTTCCTAAGCTAGCTTTTATTTGTAAAAGAACTTTACTGTTAGAAGATGAGTGAAATGGATAATGAAAAATATTGTACGTAACCCCCTGTATATTGTCGGGTCAGGTAAAATCTTGTACTTTAAACGTTACGGAAGAGCGTGTTTACATCACTTAGGTGAATTATGCAACTCGCTTCCGCTCGGTGCACGACATTCACCTGCAAGATATAAAAACGCTCTTACTACACACTTGTAAGGTAAATAGCTATTACTCGTATTGATCAATATATAATGTAATTTTTGAATCTTCAATGATATAAGTCCAGCTAAATACTCAAAAGTGAACAAAATCTGTAAAACATGAAAAACATGGTGTGTTTAGAGAAAGAAATGTAATTTATTTAATGACAATTGTGTCTATGTAGTTGCGTATGAATAGTATAAAGCAGCGGCTACACTTGCCCGATTCGGTCCGGTCCGGTTCGGTTCGGTCCGGCCCGAATTTGTGAGGGGTGGCTACACTTGTACGAATCATTTCGGTCCGGCCGGAAGAGGTAGCTACACTTGTACGATATTTTGAAGGACACACACGAGCACGGGGCACAAGTACAGCTATAAAGAAGGTGTTTAGTCAAAGCCAATTAACCGAATAGGCACGGTAGGCACGTGCCTAGGGCGCGAGGCAATTGGCTTTTTTTGGGGGGTGCCAAAAAAATAAAAAAATTTTAATGTATTTTCATGCAATTGCGGTAAACTTCCTATAATCCCTCGCGGCGGTGTAGACGATTTAATGGTCTCCCGATATTGCGTCAAAATTCTGACAATTTTCCGCTGTCGTGTAGTCATAATTATCGTCTTCCATAATCGAGGCAGTATATGAACCAAAATTGCCTAAATTCTTAGGCCTATGTCCTACAAATAACTATTTTTCCTAATTTAATTCATAACTTTCATAGCCGAGCGCTCACGGAACCCCCCGATCCTCATCCGAATTTCGGGAGTAGGTGGCTACACTTGTCCGATTCGGTCCGGTCCGCCCCGAATGCTTCCGCCAAAATGCGGATGAATGCTCTCTGGACGATTGTTCCGCGCCGAACCGGACCGTACCGGACCGAATCGGGTAAGTGTAGCCACCTCCATTTAAAAACATGGGAAGCATTGTTCCGCATTTTGGAGGACCGGACCGAACCGGACCGAATCGGGCAAGTGTAGCCGCTGCTTAAGTCTCAGCAACAAATTCTATTTGAAATAAAAATAAATAAATAATCAGGCTGTCCCAAAAAATAAAAATAAAAATCACTGATAGATATTTGACCTTATATGTAAAGCACAGAAGTTACAAGGCTAAAATAAAATACCAAAATATGTATCAACATATCATAATTTGCACAAACTGTTAAGTCAAAGTCATTTTGAGAATTGAACAGTGTCTTGCAATAAATCACTGCTAAGTTCAAGAACCCAACTTTTAGATACCAGTATCCCACTTTCTACAAATAAATAAGTAAATAAATCAAATAAATATTTATGTTCTTGGACATCATTACAGTTCACTACCAGTATCTGTATGTGATGAATTATTTTAGACCAAAACCCCCTCTTGAAGTGGATACTGAAGAGCAGCCTATAGATGACGAAGCTGAACTTCTCTTGGAGAAGATTGAAGAAGAAATGGCAGCTGAGGATTCAGATGATGATGAAGACAACTTGCTGCACATCGATGATCTACAGAACATCACCAACATCAACAAGGTTAGTAATTATGAAGTTTAAATTCCAAGAATCCATGGTGGTTTTGGCAGTCTCAGATAAAGCCACTGAGGATGCCTCTTGACAGTAAATCAAAACGTTTGCCAGAAATCTACAATTGAAAACACGGTTGATGCTGAATTGATGCTGAAAACCACTATGGATTCTTAAAATGCCTCTGGTTATGTGTAGATTGTATAGCTCTATCTTGTAAATATTAAAGTGAGTATGAACGTTGTAATTCAGCTGTCTTTAATAATGATTTTAAAGCTGATTGATGTTGAAAGGACGTGTAGAAACAGCTTTTATTTTCATTTGTCTAGCTAAAAGAAAAGCTTCCGTTTGTAAGCTTATGAGACATTATGAGAGTTAATCACAAGTTTATTCCATATTTCTCATTATTGAGTAACCCATTCAAAACTTCTAAAACAGAAGTTATTTAATCCTGCTCATTGCATCGGTGGTTTTTTTCAGAGTTTGTTGGAGTCCCAAAAACAAGAAGAGATGTTGGAATCTAATACTAACAGCGAGGAGTGGCGATTGGAATTGGAACGAGTTTTACCAAAACTGAAAGTAACAATTAAATCTGGTAAGGAATTTACAAACTGTGGTTGTACTTCGTAGTTTAAAAAACTATACCTCTTTGTTAATAAAACATTTTAACATATTTAGGCATTGGATACATCTTATATTGTCCTTTATTTATTTACAACCAGTGTCAGAATCAAACCATTTCTGCCTCTATCCTTTTGTTCATTAACCACCAAATATGTCGCCTTTACTGCGCAGAGACTTCCTCAGTGACTTAAGTCTGGTCTAGACTTCCGCATGCGCCACCACATACTCCTGCCGTCCCAGTATTTTTATAGTAAATGTTTAATGTGTCGTATAAATGTTTTGTGTTCGTGTCCGTGTGTTCAATGGATTTTATTCAAAATGACGTGTTCGTGAAAACGAATGAAGATGATATCCTAGCCTGAAGAAGATACTATGAAAGTATCGAAACTGCAGTAGCCTACTAAGACTACAAGGATCGCTTTGACAGTAAAGGTATTTAAACCATTCATTCACTTATTGAAAAAAGCGATTCAGAGGCTGTCAACATGAAGTTTCTTTTTTTTATTTATGAGATTATGAAGGTTTTATTGAGTCTAATGGGGCTGTTCCAGCATTTTGGTCCGCGGCAAACTTATAATACGTAACTACTTACTGTAATAATATGTATTAAACACTTTAGCCTTCTATTTAAAACATGGTTTTTGATACTATCAAACCCAATTGCTGTACATTGTGCAAGTAATTAGAATGGATAGTCAGATATTTGGAACATTTCAACGGTTTTTCTTTTCATACACAGTACTATGAATTATTAAGTCATCCTCTACTATCTGACAAAGTCCTCTATAGCCGTAGTCTAGAACTCTGGGCTGAGGTCAGTTGGTCGTAAATATGTGAATTAAAATTTGTTATGTCATGTATCTGTTAGGGACACAGAATAACATCTTTTCCAATACCCAAACAATACATATCTATCTGACATACAGTAGAAACCTGGTTAACCGAATTCGGATTAACCGAATCCCGGGTTAAGCGAAAAGGTTCCTTAAAATAATCCAGGGCTAAAGTATAAGTAATATAAAGTGCTTTAGTAACAGTTTTATAGTTCAAAGTATTTTCTTGCCCATTCTAACTTTTCTGTAGCTGAAATAAAATACTGTTATTATATAGACATTGTTTTAAATTAATTTTTCCAACTCACCGAGGTAATACATAGGCTATTTTTAGCATATGACGGGTTAACTGAAAAATGTGTTATCCGAAACGGCTCCCCCCCTTTATTTTGGTTAACCGGGGTTCTACTGTACCTACTTACAATATGTTTCTATGATATGTACATACTTGCTATATATCTTGAATGTTTGATGGATGTTTAATTCATTCTAGATTCAAGAGATTGGCGGGCTCATTTGGAGCAGATGAAGCAATATCAAAGCTCATTGCAGGAGGTACAGTAGTTAAAAATTTCACCAAAAAGTTATGATTATTTTTTACTTTGAGGGTGTATTTCCTTACTCTAATACACTTGTTATTCTTGCTGGATGGAAAAAGATCATTGATATTTTGGAAAAATTCCCTGAAGAGATAATTCTTGTGGGCACAACTTTACATTTGTCTCCACTCAATCTTAGGAAGGTGTAAAATAGTATATTTCACTATTTTCCTGTTGCCTTACTCAGGAAAATCTGATGATCCTTACCCGGCTGCAGAACAGAGTGCTTAGATTTGTCTACAATCTGAAAAAATTTGATCACACTAGTGAGCACAGATTGAGTGCCAAGGTGTTGTCAATCATGGGGTACTCCGACATACAAACTGTAAATCTGGTCCACAAAGTTCTTCAGACGGGCAAACCTGAATACCTTAGGAAAAAGTTGGTATTTAGACATGAAATAAATGAGCACAGTACTCGACAGGACAGCCTGTTGCACTTGCCAAAGACAAAACTGGAAACGGGGAAGAAGGGGTTTAGTTACTTTGGCCCAAAAAAGTACAATGCTTTGCCACCCACTTTAAAAGAGTACAGTCGTAATAGGTTTAAGAAATGTGTAAAGGAAATGTTTACCTAAACTGTATAGATAATTTTATTTTTGATTTTATGAATAGACTATTGTATTGTTTTATTTACTTAATTTGACAAAAGTTGTCATGAAAAACAGAGTTTGTACTTTGATGAACGCTTGCAAAATAAAGACCTTATTTATTTATTTATTTATTTTCCAAGTTTCCTACATCAAGGGAAATCGTCTACCACTATTTAAAAGAAGCCACCTTTTGTTTAAATTCCAGGTCATATAAGCGGTTGATAAAGCCTTTAGGCTTTAAACCATATTCTCAATATCTAACGTATTCAAATTGCATACATACCAAACTGAAAATCCTAAAAAATTCATGTTTACCCTCAGGTGATGTCATCTGCCAACTCACAACTACAACATCTCTCCACAGATCTGGGCAACTCCCTCAACAAGATACAGAGTAGAGACAAGTTCCTCAACAGTCAACTGGAATCTCTGCTGTATCAATACAGGACTGTACAGGTTAAATATAAACTCCTAAAATTCTACAAATTTACAAAATTGAGAACAATAGCTAAGTGTATTAAGAGTGCAAAGTACGTTATTGCCGAGAACTTTAGATGGCTGCACAAAGCTTTAGCTGTATGGTCTTACATTTAGAGAAACATAAAATTTTTCCTACCACCATAAACATACTAATTAACAGTAAAATACAGTTAACCGTATTTTACAGTGTTTAGTTGAGGTAATAAAATCATAAAATAGACACCAAAACAGATTCATAAGAGTTGTTTTCCAGGATGAGTTAGCCAAGATCTCGGAGCAGTATAGAGAAGTCAGCGGAGGAGTATCCGAGCGGCAGAAGACCTTGGCTCGGATAACAGATGAGTTGGAGTCTGTCAAACAGGAAATGGAAGAACGAGGATCCAGCATGACTGACGGATGTGGGTTATAGACTATAATATTTTACTATAAGTGATTGCTTATTTACACAAATCAGAAGGATTACTCTGGTAAATCAAATTGTGAATGAAACAAGGCGAACTTGGAATAGAGAGATGGATTTTGATTTATAATCTCAGGACCAATGTTTCTTCACATAATGTATACTATTTTTAGACTCTAAAGAATTGACACTCACCATTTGGCCAGAGATTTTCAAAACTGCAAATGGTTGCTTTACTAGTACAAACATGAGCACTCTTAAGAATTTCCATGGGGGGGGGGGTCAAACTGAATCTGGGGGTCGGAATAAAAGCCCTCCTCTACAAACGATCCATGTTTCGCTTAAAAACATTATTGTTGGCTGTAAGCTGGAATCATCAACTAAGCAATAGTTGCAATGTTGCAACAATCTGTTTTAAAACTTTACGGAGCACCATGACCACCACCTGGTGAGCGTCCATATATTAAATAATAATATATCATAACCCCAAATCACACATATAGATCAGCTGTAAACCTTTATAAGCACCTTTATAAACCTTTATAAGGTGGGTTTCTGGCCACCTTACCTAGTGTGCGCTTTGTTATTTACTATTTATTTTTGTTATTTAACTGTGCTAAAACTATTGCTTGTCTTCTGGTAGCACAAAGAGCACAGCACAAATTGAGAAACCTAAAATAAGAAAGAAACTTCTCTTACAGCTCCGCTGGTAAACATCAAGAAGGCCATGGGAAGAGTGAAAGGCGACATTTCATCCATGAACGTGAGGATTGGTGTTCTGGAATACTGCATCACTCAAGCCAGACTGCGGGACAAAGATCTGCTACAAAATGAGCTCACCCCAAACACTGTTTAGATTTACATCTGTAGAAGACAAAAGTACAGAGCTGGTCTTAGCTGGAACTTTCATCTAATTCTTTTACTGTTACATTTTGTTTATACTAAAAAAGTACCAGTTTTACATGTTTAAGTTTTATATTAAAAACTTGTTCATTCTATTTATTCTTCAGTATTTGTTTGAAGAACATCTAACGTTCCAGCGTAGATCTGTGATCTTTCTTTTATTCCATGTTCAAAATGTTCTAGTCTTTTAGCAACACAATGATCTCACATTTATGTACATGTACTGCTTAGTTATTTTAATTGTTTGTATATTCTCACTAAAAACTTTATTTTTCTTTAAAACTTGTCCTTAAAAATAAAACACAATTTGCACAATAAGACTATTGAATTTTCCCTTTTTGTAAAAAAGTATTTAGAAAATACTAGTCGCTCTAACAAATTTGGAATAATGTGTTTGACGGTTGCTGTTTTGATCTTGATTCCAGAAATCTGTTTATTTGTTGGTCTTACATCCATTAAGAGTTGTGGCCAAGGACTAAGTCCTGGTTAGGCGCTCACAAAGTTTGTGTAAGAAGTACCTTGAAAACGCCGTACGTCGACTTGGTGTGGCAAAACGTCAGAACTGAGAACTTGTGTCTAGTATTTATTTTTATTTTTGTATTTTAAATGCGTGTTTGTGAGTGTTCAATTAATTGTAGTGACATTTGACAAAGAACTAAGTTCTCCTGTTTTCATAAAGGTGAGTGACGCCTGAAATTATCTTTTCAAATGAGGTTGACTTGGTAAAAGATGTGGTACATCAGACTGAAATCAGTACCGATAATTTACATCACTATACTCCGTCTTGGGCTTAATTGAAGCCGTATTAAAGTAACCTGTATTAGCAAAATACTGTAAATCAAACTCCTTAGATTTCTTGATATCACATTGGAGCAAACAACTTAAAACAAATATTTCAATGAAAAGACAAAATTCAATTTAGATTTGGTTATAAAGAGGTTATAAACATAGAAAATACCAATCAACACTTATTTAATTGACATATAATGCACTGATCTTTTCATTCCATGATTTAATGTGCTAAAAAGTATTGTTCATATTAGTAAAAAGTTAACAAAACTATTATAGTGGCACTTACAGATATTTCATCATCATAAAAATCCATTAAAAATTCCATCCTATATCATATTTTCTTGATTGAGTGCTTAATGTCATCTGAAGGACTACTATTCATTACATACAAGATACTGATATTGTCACACTTATATTAATACACTGCTCAAGTTATATAGTGGTAAATAAATAGTAGTAAATTTTTTTACATGCATCGGTTACAATCATAAATATCAGTCTTATTTCATTCTCACATACATTTCAATGTAGTAAACATACATCACACAAAGTCATTCAGAATACTTCATAGTTCAAAATTCCCCTGTTTCCTATAAGTTTACCAATAATACTGCAAAGTAATACACATTTTGCCATTAATTAACTAGAAAGCTTTTGGCCTTTGTTTGCTTCAAATGCTTTTAAAATATTACATTATTATTTAATTTTTAAACTTTGAATATCTTTTTGGCTCAAAATAGTATTTTATTACACTCAATGTTATTACCATAAAATTCAAATATTTTGAATTCAATAAGCTACATTCAACATTCAATGACAACAATTTTCGATCGGGTTAGTTTTTACACACATAGAACACATTGAAATGACCCTTAGCTCACAATGTACACAAGCAGCAGTGCCGGATTTAGGGTACTTGCAGCCTTAAGCCAAATTAATCTGACCCCTACTCCTTAGGTGGACTTCCCTTGCAACCGCGGTGAAATCTTGAACATCTTCGACAATCATCATCATCGCTGTCCGCACCGTGTCCAATTATTAATCTTTGAAAATAAAACTTTTGAAGAAAATAGTTTTTGTACAAAACACTGCGGCTCAGTTGCCCTTTTGCAGTTGGCTATTACACTTTCACTTGTGGCGCAGTTGGCATGATGGTAAATCCGGCACTGAACACAAGTCAATTTTTTTACTGGAAAAATAGCTGGCAAAGCAATATTTACTAATGTTAACATCAACGACGTTTTCATCTAACAGTCTTTACTCTACACATCACAGGTACAACAAAATCATAAGAATCAAGTCTTATGTCAGCGTAAAACTGTATTGGAACATGCGAATTGTCCAAGAGATAGAGTTGAGGAGTTGCCATAAGACAAAAGGGGTGAGAATGCATCCACTAGAAGACTGGAATACAGTCACTCTTGTAGGTTCATGTTCTGAAAAAAATTCAAAACAGGTTTAAATTGAACACTGCTTCAATTGCACCAAAAAAAACAAAAAAAAAACAGTGTTTGTTTTTGTGTTGTGAATATTTGACACATAACTTGTTAAAAGTAAGTATTTCCATCATCGTCACTTGTGACACAATGTAGTCTAAGAATGTTTTACCCCTCATAAAAAATATGTTTAATATTACGTAATAACTATTGGTACAGTGAAATTTTTTTCAAAAATGAAATCAATTTTTCCAGTAAATTTAAAACACCACATTAATACTTTTGTTATTGTTGCCTTTGTTCTTGGGTAGGTTAGATGTTTGTGCCGCCCTATGCATCTCCCCAGCTTGTGTGGCATCTTTAGGATGTCTTCTGAAGCTGTCTTCTTATCACTAACATTATAGTATATATATTTACAAGTCACTAGTATCGTGTTAGGGTCGATCCAATAATGCGACGACGGACACAGTGATGTCATGGTGGGAGATCATTCTTCCTCCGTTTCATTTCATGGTCTGGGGGTGTTGGATGGTTGAGGGTAGTTTGGACTTTACTGGTTTACAGTCAGACGGGTGTATTTTGATCTCTGTAGTGTTGCCATGTTGTTGCTGTGTTCCCAATTTTGAACCTGGAAATGTCCTCTTGCTGTGTGTCTGTTGTCACATTGTTCGATCAATACTGTCGCGATACTAGTGACAGCACATTTATAAATATTTTTGATAATAGACTAAAAAGTGTGTGGTAAGAAGACATCTTAAGAAGACCCTTTGAAGATGACTTACAAGCTGGTGGAATGCATGTGACACAAACATCTTACCTATTCAAGAACACAGGGAGCAACATTAAAAGTAATCTAATAAAATTCAAGTTTTTGAAACTGGGGTGGCAAAAAATATATAAAGAACCACATTTTCTCCTGTTTATCACAGTAAAGAAAAGGTATAGTTTTGTGTGCTATTCTGGGTGAATGCAAAAACTACATAACTGACTAGGCTAAAACTGCATACAAGAAATATGAACCAGACCTAGCAAGTAAACTGCATTATTGGTCCATGTGAGAGCTGCGCCAAATTAGCATTTTACTCTATTATAATACAATTCACTCATACTACAATTTGCTCACAGCAAAATGCCCTGAGCTCACAGCTCAGTAGACTAAGTAGGATAAAAGAGATATTTTTAAGTAGGTAGTAAAACTGGTTTTTGGTTTCTTTTAGGGGCGGTTCACGAGCTCGGGACTATCGTAGTCCGAGCCCAGAATCCGGAAATAACCGGTATTTGGGCCGCGACTTAAAACATCGGGTTCACGAGCTCGAGACTATATAAGCCGCGGACCAAACTGATAGGCGGCACACAATTAGTGCAGGGATAAAACCCGGTTTTAAAAGTTGGGTTCACGAGTCCAATTACAGGTAGTCCCGGCTCTGATCATTAGTCCCGGTGGGTTCACGAGTCAAGTCCGAGCCCAAATGAGATGGTTCGGGCCCAAAAGAACAATGGTGTTTGGTCTCCAACTCAGACCTGGTAGGAGGCAGGTTTAAGGTGACATTATGCCGGTTTTATCTAATTAGCTCCTTTATTTTTATTATTTGTCAAAAACTAATGTTTAAATATGATTCCTCATTAAATTTCGAACAATTTCATTACCCACAACACCATATTAAAAAAATTTGTAAAAATGGTAAAAAGGCTCATAAAACATGAAAAAATCATCAAACAACTTAAAATGACAGATAAATTATGCACGTAACAAAGTAGTATCATAACAAAGATATTTTACTGATAAACCCCATGTTATTACAATTTTAACGGCAAAATTATGCGTAGAATATAAATATAACTAATCAGCCACAGTTAAACCATCGTATTCTAACATAATTATCAGAAATAGTTTTTTGCCGTGGGAAACATCAAGCAAACCGTCAGTCGTTGAGTACGGTTCGCGGTGATATCACCGTCTTGTGTTGTACGTTGTACTCACTGGTCGCCGTGTGTATTAAATATGTGTTGTAGCCTATATGTTGAATTTAATATTAGTTGAATTTGTAGCAGCTGATTATTACTATTGTTTATGTTTGTGGTTGCTATGTTGTGAATCATTCTAAAAGTCAATACATATTAGTTTTACCATAGATAAAACCATAGATAAAACATACTCCCTTAGTAGATTTCTCATCCTAATGGAACAGCTGAAGACAATTTTATTGTTAGTTCTGTACGGTTTTCTGCAGATGTCGTGTTTTGTTTACAATTTGTTTCCCGTTAATACAGTCATTTAAAACCTCGTTTAACCAAATAATACGATCTAATCATAAACAATAAATTGTCCCCTAGTTATTTAACCAAACAGTAAAGCACAAATCAAGAAATTAACCCTAAAATAATAGAAACTAAATTTCGTCTAGTGTCGCGCCCAGTGTGGCGTACATGAACTAGACATGAAAAACGAGCTTCAAAATTTACAATGGGATGAGAAGTCTACTTGTGTTGGTTAGTCTATGATAAAACATACTCCCTTAGTAGATTTCTCATCCTAATGGAACAGCTGAAGACAATTTTATTGTTAGTTCTGTACGGTTTATGTAGAGGCTGTGTTTTGTTTACAATTTGTTTCCCGTTAATACATACATTTAAAACCTCGTTTAACCAAATAATACGATATAACCATAAACAATAAATTGTCCCCTAGTTATTTAACCAAACAGTAAAGCACAAATCAAGAAATTAACCCTAAAATAATAGAAACAAAATTTCGTCGACAATAGCGCCTAGTGTGGCGTACATGAACTAGACATGAAAAACGAGCTTCAAAATTTACAATGGGATGAGAAGTCTATTTGTGTTGGTTAGTCTATGGTTTTACTGAAGTCTTTACAATTATTATTTCTTAAATAGTTAACAATATGAAATATCTATACTGTATTATGTTAACAATTATGTACCATCACTCCACTACCTCGCATAGGACCAGCTCGTTATCATGACTAAAACCCTTGTATGACTTGATGAATTTAAAGATATATTAAAATGTTCCGAAGATGCCGTCAATGAGTCATTTGAGGCGTTCACTCCAAGGCATGGATTTCCCGGCAACAAAATCCTGTGGTTAATGGTGATGTACAATGATTAATAAAATAATATAATTAGTATTTTAGAGGATTTATTGTCTGGACAAAAGGTACAAGATCAAAAGAAAGAAAAAGGTAAACAAGAAAAGTAAATATTAGTTAACAATAATTGCTAACATGTGTTTTAAGTTCAAATCAATTGAATACTGACAGATGGTTAGGTACAGCCACATACTCCCCTCCCAGTGACAGCGCTAAGTTTCATGTGAGGTATTTGGAAGAGAACCTCACAACACGTCCCGAGCGGGTTTTTCGTTCAGGGACAAGTCCAGAAGGTCCAGGTTGGGCTGAAGGCTGTTGAGTCTTGATGTTTCTAGGTCTCGTTGGTGGTGAGTCTGTTTCAGGTTGTTTCACCAGTTCATTATCTGACTCCATTGTTTTATCCATCTGAGACTGTGTAGGTTGAAGATGATTTTGAAGAATAAATGCTGGTTTCAGCCGATCAATAGAAACGGTATCTTCACCCCGTGGCAATAATATGTTAAAATACTTGTCACCTCTTGAAACAACTTTGAAAGGCCCTTCGTATGTTGGTTGAAGAGGCTTTCTTATTGCGTCATGACGAATAAAGACATGAGATGAGGTCATGAGATCAGGATGGATGAAAATAGATCGTTTGTGATGATGGCGAAATGGTACAGGACGAATTGATTTGACATGGTCTTGAAGTCGAGCAAGTAGTTTAGGGATGTCATTCGGCAGCTTGGAGTCTTCAAAGAAATCAACAGGGAGGGTGATTGGTTCTCCGTAGACGAGCTGTGCAGGTGAAACTCCTATTTCTGGTATTATGTTTGAATGAAGTCCAAGCAGAACTGATGGAAGTTTGGAAACCCAGTCTGCTGTTAGTTGTGCTTTGAGAGCCGATTTTAAGGAGCGATGCCACCTTTCAATAGCTCCATTTGCAGCAGGATGGTAAGCTGTAGTTTTTATGTGATTTATGCCAAGCATGGCTGTCAATGATGAAAACAATTCACAATCAAACTGCCTTCCCCTATCAGTAGTAATAAAACGAGGAACACCGAAGCGAGATATCCATGAGTGCAAAATAGTGGAAGAAACTTCTTCTGCGGTGATGCATGAGATTGGTATCGCTTCAGTCCATCTTGAAAACCTATCGATGATGGTTAACAGGTACTGATATCCTCTTGAAGGAGGTAAGGGTCCAACAATATCAACATTCAAATGAGAGAATCGTTTTTCGGCAGTAGGGTAGGCACCGAGTTCACTAGAAGTGTGCCGCCATGTTTTACAGCGTTGGCAAGGAATACAAGTTTTGGCCCACAATGAAACATCACGTTTCAGCGAAGGCCAGCAGAATCTCTCTTGAAGTAGTTTGACTGATGCGGCAATTCCAGGGTGAGATAGATTATGAATGGAGTCATAGAGAGGTCTTCGGTAGGCATGAGGGATGAAAGGTCGTAGAGTTCCAGTCGAAGAATCGCAAATCAATTGAAGTCCATTATCAAGAATCATAGTTTTGAATGTAAATGATGATAAGTTGGATTGTTGGATGTGTTTGAGTTCATTACATACTTCTTGAGCATGAGCGATGTCTGTAAGTGATACAGTTGATGACAGTTCAATTTCTGTAATCCTAGAGCATGCATCTGCAGAAAAATTTTGTTTTCCGGGAATGTAATGGATATCAGTAGTGAATTGACTAATGTAGTCAAGATGTCTTTGCTGCCTAGGGGTCGCCTTTTCAGGGCGCTGTTCAAATGCGTAGCTGAGAGGCTTGTGATCCGTCAGAATAGTAAAGTGACGGCCTTCTAGGTAATGTTTGAAGTACTTGACTGCTTCATATGCTGCCAGAAGTTCACGGTCATAAGTGTTCTGTTGAGTTTTAGTGAGGATTTTAGAAAAGAAACCTATTGGTTCTGGAGTATTTCCTCTCATTTGCTGGACAGAAGCCCCGATCGCGAAATTTGAAGCGTCAACTGAGAGGATGATGGGAAGATTGCTGGAAGGATGGTAAATCAGAGTAGCATTAGCCAGTTCTGTTTTCAACCTGTTGAAAGACTCTTTGGCGCTATCGTTCCATTGTATTTTGCTTTTGTCCTTTCGTTTGGGCGATGAACAAAGGTCGTACAGGGTCTTTTGTGTTGTTGCTGAGTTTGGTAGTGATCTCCTATAGAAGTTAACGATTCCTAAAAATCGTCTCAGTTGATCAACTGTGTCAGGAAGAGGATAGTTTAGTATCGTTTGAACACGTTCAGGTAATGGAAATATTCCACTTTTGTTGATTCGATAGCCAAGGAATGAAATCTCTGAGACAGAAAACTCACATTTTGATGCGTTAATGCAGAGGCCGTGTTTGGATAGACATTCAAAAAGAAGGCGAACATGTTGCTCGTGTTCCTGTTCAGACTCAGAAGCAATTAAGATGTCATCCAGATACGAATATGCAAACGTAAGGTCTCGTAAAATGGTGAATGAAGCGTTGGAAGGTTTGACCTGCGTTCTTTAATCCAAATGGCATGCGTAAAAACTCAAACAAACCAAAAGGAGTAATAACAGCTGTTTTAGGTACGTCATCTGGATGAACAGGAATGTGGTGGTAGGCTTTGACAAGATCTATTTTAGAAAATATTGTCTTGCCTTCAAGCTGTGAGTTGAAGTCTTGTACATTAGGTATCGGATACTTATCCGGAACGGTAATGTAGTTAAGAGCTCGGTAGTCACCGCATGGTCTCCAGGTGCCGTCCTTCTTTGGTACCATGTGCAACGGACTTGACCAAGAACTCTTAGAAGGTCTACAGATACCTGAATCAATCATTTTCTGAAACTCTAATTTAGCCTGAGAGAGTTTGTCAGGAGCTAACCGTCTGGCTTTAGAGGTAACAGGTGGTCCATTGGTACTGATTGTATGGAAGAATTCAATGTCTGGTGTTTTATGTCCAGGTATGTCTTTCAGTAATTCAGGAAATTCATGTAATAGGTGTGAGTATTTACTATTTGGGTCAATCAGATAAATCTCAGAAGATACTGACGGTGATGGTGTTGAGCCACATTGAAAGAGGTTCGTTTTGTTGTCTATTAACTTTTTATTTTTGATGTCAATTAAAAGGCCGAATTCTGCTAGGAAGTCTGCACCAATTATTGGTTGTTGGACGTCTGCAATAGTGAAAGGCCAACAAAATGATCTGCAGAGACCTAGGTCAAGTTGTAAAAGTTTCTCGCCAAACGTGGGGATATTTGAACCATTAGCTGCATAAAGTAATTTGGCAGATGGTTTTGGCTTTTGTTTGCTATGTGCAGGTAACACAGAAATGTCAGCACCTGAATCAACAAGAAATTTTGTATTAGTCAGCCGATCGTAAACAAAAAGACGGCGAGGTTGATGTTTTGCGCTATCTCCCGCCGAATCAAGATAGTGCTGAGTTAGTTTTCCGAATTTTTGGACGGGGAAGAATGGTAGTTGCATGGAGTTGTGCATCTTGTAGCGTTTTTACCGAAGTTTCTATGGTACCAGCAGACAGATTTATTACGTTGAGGAGTTGTGTCACGGTTCTGATATTGGTAAAGTCAAGAACCAGATTTCGAACGGGAGCGTAAAGATGAAATTTGGTTGGTTAGTTCGGTGATTTGGTTTTCTAGGCGAGATAATCTATCAGGTTGTGAGCTTGTTGATGTTTCACCTTTCAAGGAATACATGTGCTGAGAATGAGTGGGAGAGTACTCCATGATTTTATCAGCCATGGTTGCTAGATTGTCTAGAGAGTCGGAGCTAGATGCTAATATTGAGCTGATCTGAGGGGGAAGACGTTTAAAAAATAATGTTTTTAGGAAATCGTCTTTAACTTGGGAACCTGCAAGAGTACGCATTTCTCTAAGAAACTGAGAAGGTTTTTTCGAACCAATTTCTAGTTCGTCAACCAGTTTAGTGAATTTTCTGCTCTCTGATTCTTCGAATTCAGAGATCAGGCGATTACAAAGGTCTTGATAAGGTGTTTGGCTAAGTGGTTTCTCTAAAAGATCTGAAAGCAATTCGGCAACATCGGTATCAAGATTTCCAAGAATGTGGTAATATTTTGTTCGTTCTTGAGTGATATTTTTTACAATGAATTGTGCCTCAACTTGACGTAACCAGACCTTGACATTTTTCCTCCAAAAGGGTGGAATTTTGACTGTTAATTTCGAGAGATTATTTGAATTGGTTGGTAAATTGGGATCAGTGACATTTTCTTCAGTGCCTGACATTTTTAGGTCTAAACTAACCTGGTTTTGTTCTGACTGACGAAAGTTGAGGTTTCTTGGAGATGCTGTCCTGTCTTGAAGGATTTACTTTTATGTTGCTTCAATTATAACGTCGTTGGTCACCAGTGTGGTTAATGATGATGTACAATGATTAATAAAATAATATAATTAGTATTTTAGAGGATTTATTGTCTGGACAAAAGGTACAAGATCAAAAGAAAGAAAAAGGTAAACAAGAAAAGTAAATATTAGTTAACAATAATTGCTAACATGTGTTTTAAGTTCAAATCAATTGAATACTGACAGATGGTTAGGTACAGCCACAATCCATTACCGTATTCTAAATTGAAAAAAAATATTAGTTGCACTAATATTTTTGGCTGATGGCACTTTTCATCGAGAAAAACTGGTGATTTATTGGATGTTAGTAAAGCTTGAATGAAAGCTATTTTTTTTTTTTTTTTTTTTTTTTGTAATGAAAGCAGAACAAATCAAATTTTCAGTTCAAAACTATGCCCAAAGAAAAAAAAAACAATGTTTTCCTAAATACAAACGTAAATTAAAGACGTTTTTGTAAATTAAAAACCATAGCTGTTAACATAAATAATATTATGAGCTAACTGCAGAATATTATTTTCAATATTTTAAAGTTAGATTATTAAAGAGTGTAAGAATAACGGAGAGAATATTCTTAGGTTACAGCCACGATTAAATCCAGCACACACATACGATTTTTATATCTAATAATCAGTACCTACCTCTAAATACATTTAAGTTTCAATAATTGTACCATTTAAATAAGTTTAGTTAAAATTATCCTATCCAAAAATCACCATCCTAAATTATCGGGCATTTATGCAAAATAGGCATTCATCCGGTTATAAATACCCGGTTATTTTATGTCATGCATCTTAATTAAATTATAATAATGCACACAGAAAAATATATTTCACTAAAAACTTCCATTATCTGTTTCCATACAAACGTGGATTGTTGTATTTATAAATCAGTAAACTTAGATAGATTATCATAGGCGAGCATTGGGACAATGAAATACAAGAAAAATAATCGTTTTGGACGTTTTGGTTCAGCCCTTTTTCACGATCATCATATTGTATGGAAGTGCGTATGTCAACAGCAGTGGCTTTTGTGTTTCCAGTTGTTACTGGTTTATACCAACGTCTCAACAGAAATTCCCTGCGAATCCCTGTCATTAGGCTCCGCTACGGATTTGGTCTCGACCTACAATGCTTTCACATCATTAGGCTCTGACTCGTGAACCCATTTTTTGGTCGTCGCTTATATAGTCCGGGACCAACATCTGGTCGCGGACTATGAAGTCCCGAGCTCGTGAACCGCCCCTTAGAGTTTTGTCAATAAAACTGAGAAATTGAAATATGTAAACGTATAATTCTGTTCATGTTTAACATTGTTTTTACCTACCCATGACATCAGCTATGGTCCCGACATCAGTTTTAAGGTTCAGCAGAACGCTCGGTTGTGAATGTTGTGGCTGATGTTCCTTTCGGGGATCTTTTGGCCTCTCTAACTCTGCACTTTTTTCTGTTGTTTTCCAATACACGCTCAGTATACTGGCAGTGCAGCGAATCTGTACAAATCAAATCATGTTTATTGGCACATAGTGTACAAAGTTTACATGTACAACTTATAATTATTAGCTACAGTCCATACACCTTAAGGGGTTTCTTCAATAAACTTTTACATTTTAAGGAGTTCTTAAGTGATTTAAGTGATTTTTCGCATAGACAATAAGTTTTTGAAGAGTGACAAATTTCTATTTATTGTAGAGTTGAATTTATGATTTTTGACACACATTATACAAAAGTGTTGTTCTGAGAATATTTTCTTGTTCAGGAAATAGAAGAGGATTGGTTAAGGACGTCAGAGAAGGGAGGCAGCAGTGGAAGAGACAGAAGATAGAGAGACATGGATAGCAGTTGTTGGTGCGGCCAAATCCCGCCTTGGGCATTAATGGCCATGGAAGTGAGTGAGGCTATCATCGAACATTTTAAGTATAGAAAAATAGCTAAAAAGTTTGTAAAGAAATAAATTAAGTATACAGCATTACTTTTAGTCTACTATTGCTGTTGAAGTCTTGTGATACCAGAGACTTTTCAAGTATGCTAGTCACAGTCTCCAGGTCTCCCAGTCCACCACTAACTGTGTGATAAACTCTGGCATGTCGTTCATCCACCTTCAACATTCAAATACAAACACATTAAACTAGACTGCCGTTACCTATACAAACGATCCTTGATGTTTAAGCAGACAAAAGTAAATATTTAAGTTCGATTTTGACATTTTTCTTGTGTGGAAAATCAGTTAGGCTTTTATTTCGATTAACTTTTTTTTATCATTGCCCACAGAAAAGCTATATGTATCAATAAGCAAAAACAATATTTCTAAATATTTATTTTAATTCTAACATATTTATAGTCAGAATGTTGAGTAGTATTATTATGTCTATGTACAGTATATAAATGCATTGCTCAAACAAGCAACTAGGATCAAAAGGATTTACCTCCACTGTATTTCATTATCACAACTATCCTGAATTTCAAATATAAGATTTTACATATTGAGGATCTGTAAATGAGTTTCTTAATGAAAAAGTCACACGCAAACAGATTAGACCCTACTTACCAATACATCATAGTTAAAACATGCTCCTATAGTGGATTTATCATCTTTAAAGATCAGCTTAAGACAGTTTAAGGTTTGTCCTGTCCGGTCCATGTAAGGGTGGGTTTGTTTACTGTTTGTATCCTACAGCATATCCAAAGGAAGCACAAATTGTTAAAAGTTTACCCTTGATAGTTGAATAAGATAAGAAGTTATTTAAATGTAACACACTCAAACATTACCAACACAAAACAGGCTTCCGAATTTATAATAGGATGAGAAGTCTGGTTATACTACATAGTATATGCACTTATGGTTTAAGTTGGCACACCTGATGTCCATTGATGAGCCAAGATAGGTTGGCAGCTGGAAGACTCTCAGCTGATGTACAGTTGACCCTGAGTCTTTCCCCGACTCTGTACCTCGGCCTCAAACCATGCAGGGAGGGCGAGTGTCGAGGTGGAGCTAGTCACAGACAAATTATAAGAGCCTTTACAGTCTGAAGACCATAAAAATGTTGTATGAACATAAATTAGGGTTATAGTTCATAGCGATTGTCTGACAATGTAAAAATGTTAAGATTTAAGTTAAATTTAAAGAAATAACATCCTTATAGTCCTTACATTGTAGAGTCATTTGTTTGAATTTTCTAAAGTACAGTATAGAAAGTAAAAAGACACATAAAGTCTGTACTTACTGACGACTTTCATTTTGCCGGTGACCAAAGCAGTTTGGAAGGACGGAGCATCAGCTGACACTTCACAGCTGTAGTGGCCGGACATAACTGGCAACACCTTGCGAAGCGTCACCTGGGTGGCATTAGACTTGACCTCCTGTACAACAGATTGTATTTTATTTTGCCTTTACATCCTAAGATGCTAAGCTTCTTGGAACAGTTTTACACATTATTTTCTATAAGGCATCTCCATGCCTCCATGCGACACTCCGGTCGCGACAATATTACTAAGATAAAATCTATTGGTGATCAGCAGGATTGTTGCAGGATGGTTCAACAGGAACCTCAGGGACCAAAGTCCTGCTCTCTATTAGACTCTACCTCCTGTACGAGAGATTATTTAAATTTTAATGTCCTACCACTACATCCTTGGATCCTGGAAATGTTTTACGCTTTATTTCAGAGACGGCGAAATGAGGGTCTTGGATAGTGAATATAGATCGGGGTCTAGAAGATGATTATAATCTATGTTATAACCTTCTTACAACTATTCTTACGAATCTTGGTTTTTAAACATGCAGATCTCAACTGTTTGTGAAACACAGAGAATTTAACAGTCAAACTCAAGTTTGCATGTAGATTTCAGCATGACTTAGAAGAAAAATTGCCGAGTGAACAGGTTAGATTTGGGTGTGTATTTTAAGTTGAAGGATGACTGATGAGGATGGGTGTTGAATGAATGAGACAACAGGTTTGTTCCAGACTAAGATCAGCTGATTATTCTAATAGGACATTATAATGATCAAGGTGACAGCTGAGTCTATTTACAAACAATCAAAAAGATTCTAAATTCTCTTAGGAGCATCCGATGATAAGACTTTTTTAAGCTTAAGTGGGCAAGCCCTACATTCAGCTACTTTTATTGGTTTGAGTATTCAGTTTCAAATTCAAAATTTGCCAGTTTGAGCCTACTATGGCTTTCTGAACCCAGTGGTCTTTAAAATGGCCAATACAAATTGATCAATAAAAATTACGTTTATAAATTTGGTTCACCTTATAGGTATCAACAAGCTAATAATGTTATACATACTCTTACTTAAAACTCTTAAATGTGCTGTGGAATTCACAAAACAAATGACAAAAATATCCTGTAAACCTAACCTGGACTTGCAGTTGAGGCATTCCATGTATGGGAAATATCTTCACAGGAGGGTTCTCTCTGGGAGTAAACCTGTAGAATTCTTGCTGGCCCTAGAACATAACAGGATAACATAATAAATTCTGCGAATGTTCTGATCATTTTAGCAGTGATTTTTCCTAGTTCTCAAAAAAAAAAAACACTTAACAATGTTTAGAAAAATGAATTTTAATACTTTTTTCAAGTTTCTAGTTAGGTGATCCTTACCACATAACCAGGATTTGAAACTAGGCCTTCAGGAAAAAAACTCTACTCTCTAATTGACTAGCAGCACCCCTTACATCTTTTTATGAGAGTATGCTTGTTTCAACTGTTTCAACTTCAATTACTGTATCAATTATCAATTATTCTTCGAGACAGTGATAGACACTTGAGTGCGTGCGTATTTTGAGTCGCTAAGCAATAAAGTGAAGTCATAAAATACCTTGTACCACTTGACGGAGTATAGCGAATCAGTCTCAAGATCGTAGAAACAATGGAGCACTGCCGGCTCTCCATACAGCACTGCGTCTGGTACTTTCACTCGCACTTGACTCAGCGCAACTGATGAAGTGGCTGCCACAAAAGAAAATTTACTGATATGAGACTTTTTTGTTGTTAGTGTATTAATAAATTTTATAGCATATTTATTATTTATAATTTTCATAATAAAGTTTGCCAAAAAACTTAGTACAGTATCTGTAAACCAATTGTTTGGAGATGTCCAACCATACAATTCACTGAGCTAGCCTCCCAGTGAAAAAGGCACGGTGCACCATCTGCCCACGACAAAAAGATGCCAAGATCAAATTTAAGTGTAAAACCTTTAAAAAAAAAACAATGTGCCAGGGACAAATGTAAAATATTGGTGAAGTGTGTTTCAAATGACTCCTAAACCAACCACTGGACGAGGATGTTTAATAAAAAACATACATTAGCAAAGCAAGTTTTTAATTTTTTGAATTATTTGTAGGCTAGAGTATTTTCTATAAAGCAGGAAATGTATTAATTCATGACATATTTACTGCTACCATGGTTTTAGCGAATTTCCCTATAGGGAAGTAAGCTATTACCGTAGGTGGCATGGTAAGACCTAGACCCGGGACCGATTTACTTTTTCATTTTGATGTCCCCAGAGGCCAAAAACACCATTCGTTAAAAATTTTATATATGTATATATGTGTCCGTGAACGCGATAACTTGAGTAATTTTTGTCCGATTTTGATGAAATTTGGTTTAAAGGTGTAAAGCAGGATAAACTTGAATGAGTTTGCGAACCAGCATGATCGGACTATGGGAATGGGGGTTTATGGGGGGTTTTATGGGGTAAAAATAGGTTTTCCCCATTTTTGACCCTAAAAACACAAAATTTCACAATTACTTTCCAAACCATTATGTAGAGCTTAAAGAAACAAATAATTTAGTATATTGAAGCGTTATTATGAGCCTAAGGGTTATGGTACACTTTAGTACCCTCCCTATAGCATTAAACCTAGTACTCTTTAAATTTAAAGTTATTTAAATAGGGAATATATCTTACATTTTTAGGATATATTTTTAGTAAAAATCCAGTCAGGCAAATGGATATTCATTTGTTAATCATATTAACAATATTTTTTTCTTATTAATATTATGATTTAAAGCCCACTTACTATCTTGTCACTACTATGTAACTACTCAAAACTTACATGGTACCTTATTACTCCCGGTATAATTATTTTGTAGGTATATATTAGGATATTGAACCTTACAATCCGGACTAAATTGAAATTTTGCACAGTTAAGCACATTAAGCCTATTTGATGAAAATGGCAAAAGTCCCCACAAATTCCGGCCGTGCCTCAGCCGCATTTAGTCCGGATTTTAAGGTTGGATTTCCTAATATTCACTGACAAAATAATTATACCAATACCGGGAGTAATAAGTAGGCCATGTAAGTAGTTACATAGTAGTGAAAAGATAGTGAGTGGACTCTAAAACTTTAATATTAATAGGGGAAAACTATTGTTAATATGTCAAAAAATAAATGTCCATTTGCCTGACTGGATCATTACTAAAATACTTCCTAAAAATGTAAGATAGATTCCCTATTTAAATACGGTAACTTTAAATTTAACGAGTACTAGGTTTACTGCTATGGGGAGAGTAATAAAGCGTGTATTTATGTTACATATCATTAGCTCAGTATGAAATAAATAAATTTGCCCAGTTTGATCAAAATATATCCGTAAATAAGCAAACTGCAACAATTTTGTTTTCCTACTTAAGAATAACATGGGAATTTTAAATTTAATACTTACTTATATTATTTATCTCAATAACCGTTAGAGATAGAGCAAACCTTGTAATATAAAAAAGATGTATTTTTAGACGTTCTTTAACTTTTATATTTGCGAAAATTCTCTAATACCAATAGCTGAGTGAAATATTTTCAAAAAAGTGAAAATTGGCCGCCATTTTCCAAGATGGCGGTTGAAGCACAGCCGGGATTTATGGGGACTTTTGATATTTTATTTATTTAGGCTTACTAAACAACTGTGCAAAGTTTCCACTTAGTCCAAATTTGTTAGGTCGAATGGCAGTTTTATCCCTAAAATTCTTGGACTAGGAGTGGAGTGATTGATGACTATGTTTTATATGACATTAGCTTTGAGTCGACTCTTTTAAGTCATCGGAAATTATGACTTATGTTGTTCGTTTTGAAATAATGCCTGTAATACTTTGCTATTGCTCGAATTCGAGCAACAGTTGCACTAGTTCTATTTAAATAGGGAATAAATGTGATATATTTAAGGAGACGTTTTAGTGTAAATCCAATGAGGCAAATGGAAATTCGCTAAGTCTGCAGGTTTGCTGCGGCGGGGGTATTTTACAAATGTTACTCTTCTGTAAAATTAAAAATAATACTTGTTTGCAATAAAACTTGTTCAACTGCGGTTTCCCCTTCTTTAACACCCATTATTACATTACATCATAAAATTACGTAGGATCATAAAATTTACGCAACAATATGAGAAAATGAATATAGATATTACGTCTAAAGTTTAAAGGGATAAGTATCAAAAACATTGTTTTTGTACCCGTTTGTACCCTCTAGAGACCCCCCTGCGCACTCCAGCGTAAAAAACCAGCGCGCTTAAGGGTTAATAACTGGTCAGTGGTCCTTTTGGGGGGTCCATAGTGTAAAAAAACTAAAAGTATGTCCGATTGTTGGGTGAAGCCGACGGGTAACAGCTAATAGGCTTCATACACATAATAAAACAAGTTATCATCACGTATTCATCTGGACAAGGTCCTTTACACCTGATAAGGCTAAATCTCGGATGTAACCATCCAGCGATCTACATTTCTACAATACAAGGCACGTAACCCGATTTGGAGGGAATGCCACTCACTGTCGGGTTCCGGGTTGACCTTGGTAGTCTGCACCCACAGCTCCGCTTCAGTAGTTGCACAATCTAGTCCAGTTTCGGCCTACAGCACACCGGGAGTGCACTGATACTGACACTGCAGTCGCGCCGCACTGAACTGACAGATTAGGCGGCAGATCAAGGTCAAGTGTTGTGTTTGTGTTATTGGTCCCAGTTGCAACGTTGCGCAATAATCGAACATTACTTATATTGCAAGAAGATAATATTGATTGATTTGAGTGGATCAGTGTTTGTTGTGCCCAGTGGATAGTTATTTTGTAAGTATACCAGTGCAATTCTAATACCAGGTAACTGATAGAAAGAAAATCTGATTGTTGCACAATGGCTGATAAGATATCAATGTGTTCCGTTTTGATTAGAAAACTTCCTCACTTGGATGCCAATCAAGATTATTCCTTTAAGAATTATTTAGAGCTAATGGGGCTTAAGTATGATGAAACCACAAAAAAATACAAAACCAATTTCGTTTTGGATACCACATTGAGTGATAGTGATAACCTTATTCTTCTAAGTGAGATCTTGAACAGGTATGTTCAACTGGATAGAAACCGGAACCATCCCTTTAGAGACCAAGTGGAGGATTCACCTGAGATTATTCAAAACGAAAACAGAAATCTTTCGCTGAAAATTGTTAAAAAGCGAGAAAAAAAGCTTAAGGTACAGGTAAGGCGCCTACAGATTAAGACAGAACAGCTCAAAAATCAGAAAAAAGATCTCAAAAAGGATATCCATTGTTTGCAAAAGACGGTAAAAAAGCTAAAAAATGACAACAAAAAGATTAAAGATAAGATCGCGGGTTTTGTAGAATTGACGTGTGGGCTCCAAACTGAGAAAAAACAACTTGAAGATCAAATACTGAGTATGAAGAAACTGATTCCACCTGTGCCCGAATCAGAAGAAACTTTTCATAGTCTTACAGTGACTCCACTGAAAACACACAACTGGTACAGGCTAGGACGCGTTCAGAAGAGAAACATTAGACGTCGGTTGAATCAGATCGCCAAGGAGGAAGGCTACACCTATGAAGAGATTGAAAACCGAACCAAAACATTTGATGTCATCCCACATTCAATCGACACAGCTGGTAATTTGAGAACATTTTTAAGAAAACACGGCGTGGAAGTGAAAGGTAAGCTTCAAAAATTCCAGTTCAACAAGGGTGAGGACGCCCTGTATAATCTTATAGGTAATTTCACTCAACTCCAGGAGGATGCTCAGCCAAAAGGAGCAAAAATTCTTGGCTACAGTCTCATTACTGATTACTTTCAAAATGAATGATGAAGCGATCACAGCAGTTTCTTGAACAATGATGACTTAATCCAGCTCAAGAATATTTTTTTCATTATATAGTAGTAAATTAGTAGTTAATACGGTAGTACAGTTATTTTGTCATCTTGACTCCGCTGAAAACACCCCACTGGTACAGGCTAGGACGCGTTCAGAAGAGAAACATCAGACGTCGGTTGAAACAGATCGCCAAGGAGGAAGGCTACACCTATGAAGAGAATGAAAACTGAACCAAAACATTTGATGTCATCCCACATTCAATCGACACAGCTAGTAATTTGAGAACATTTTTAAGAAAACATGGCGTGAAAGTGAAAGGTAAGCTTCAAAAATTCCAGTTCAACAAAGGTGAAGCGATCACAGCAGTTTCTTGAACAATGATGACTTAATCCAGCTCAAGAACATTTTTTTCATTATATAGTAGTAAATTAGTAGTTAATACAGTAGCACAGTTATTTTTTCATCTTTTCTGTGAATAAACCTTGTTGGATCTTTTATTTATGGCATTTTTCACCTTTATTTTTATGCCTTTAACTAACGTTGGATGCAAATAAAATATCATTCTTAGGTAACCGGGCCCCGGGTCCTACATTGGTGGTAGCTCAGCATTCAGACTGTGTGCAGGTTATGCTGGGGTGCGCCACAGGGGTCTGTTGCAGGCCCCTTGCTTTTCATAGTGATGTTGAACAACAATATCTAAATATATTAGGCCTTATATTTATGGTAATAATATTTGTGTATCATGCTAACATACTTAACGCTGTTTAGTAATGATAATATTACTAAGAACTAGTAAGACTAGTAAGAAGAAGTAGTATTACTATTATTAGTAAGAGAAAAACTTAACAATATTTTGTA